TCTCTCCTTATGACTCAACCCCTCCAGGCCTAGTAACATCATTGTTAATTTTTTCTGAACTCTTTATAGTTTAACATTCTTCCTATAACAAGACGACCAAAATTGTACACAGCATTCTAAAAGTGGCCAATGTCCCAACTCATATACTCAACACCCTGACCAATGAAGGCAGAAATCACATGACACCAGGTTATAGTCCAACAGGTTTTTTTTTTGAAAACACAAGCTTTTGGAGCTTCAGTCCTCCTTCAGGTGGACTGAGGCTCCGATAGCTCGTGTTTTCAAATAAATTTGTTGGACTATAACCTGGTGTTGTGTGATTTCTAATCTCGACCACCCAGTCCAACACCGGCACCTCCACATCCTGACCAATGAAGGCAAGCGTGCCAAACACCATTACCACTCTGTCTACATGCGATGTCACTTTCAAGGAGCTACGAATTTGCACCCCCACCCCCCCACCATCCCTCTGTTCAACGTTGTGAAGCGATACTGAAATGCATGCAGACCGGATGGAATGTCACAACTAATGAAATCAAATCTCTTGTGTAGTGTGAGGTGGAGCAGGGATATGGAGGAGAAAGTTTGGGATAGTAGAAAAGGAGTTGGTAACTCAAATATCCACTCCTCCTGAATTCCACAACAATGGCAGAATCTACTATTAGTATAAAAGGTAAGGCAAGGTTAAAACTTGGCAATGATCTTCAAGCAAAAGTGCCAAGCAGATGACTCACTTTAGCTTCCAAGGTCTACGCCACCAGACGCCAGTCTTCAGCTAATTCATTCTGTGATAAAGAAACAGCTGAGCACAGAAGATATTGGCATTGACAGGGACCTGGTTTGCAGTGCTGAAGTGTGCTCCACAACTAAGGGCTACCTAACCTATTCTAGCGTAGCTACCAGCATTTAATTCCCAAAATGGAATGTTGTCCAGTATGCCGTACCCATAAATTACCAGACAAATCTGATCTGGTCAATTATTACTCCAGCCACCTATGTTCAAAGTTAAGACAAAAGTCATCAGTGTTATAAAACTGCTCTTGCTCACCAATTACCCCCTCACTGACACTCGGTTTGGATTTTGCCAAGAGCATTCTCTTCAGACCTTCATGGCTTTCATCTAAATATCAACACCACACCTTCCAGAGGAAAAAGGAGAGAGAAAGTGACTGCCCCTGACATTGCCCTACATGATCAAATGTTGCCTTATCGAGAGGCCCATGTAAAACTGAAAAGAAAAGATCAGCTGGGGGGGCGGGAGGTGGGGAGGAATGCTCCACTGGCTGGGAGTCACACACACAATACAAAAAGAAAGATGATTGCAGTTGACCTGAAACGTAACTGGATAAAGCACAAATATTGAGGCTAGAAGAGCAAGTCAGAGGTTACATATTCTGCAGCAACTGACTCTTCTCCTGATTCCCCAAAGCTTTCCACCATCTGCAAAGAAAAAGCCAGGAATTTGGTGGAATATTCTCCACATGCCTGGATGAGCATTGACATCAGCACAGAAAGCGCAAAATCATCCAGGACAAAACAGGCTGTTTGATTGGCACGCCACCTAACACCTTCAACATTTGCTCACTCCAACACCAGCACAACATGTACTGTGTTTACAAGATACACAACAGCAATACTTCAACTAAACTCTAAAACCTGTGACCTCCACTATCCATGAGGACAACAACAGACACACAGGAACCTAATATTAATCAGAAACCTTACATGCCTTCAATTTACTTTTTGCCTTAGAGGTTATGCCTGCACAATTTTATATTTCACTTGTGATACTGCGAAGTTTCTATTTCTCTGCCGACTAGGTCCAATAGCAAGATCATGGAGTCCTGCTGGGGGAAGACAGGATTTAACATTTCCGTCTATTACTTGTTTTAGAAGTGTTGACTTATTAGAAAAACTTGTTTGTGTAATAAAATGATTGAGATAACATTTTTATTTGTATAATAGTAACAATAGAGTCTGATCAGTGGTGTGCTCATTTTTCATATCCAATTCCACCTGACCCCATCAGATAGAAAGCTGTGAAAAGAAATGCCCTGCTAAATTGAAAGCCAATGCTGCAAGTAGTTCCACAGCTTACTAAGGAGACACTATGACATATCTGAAGGTACTAAAACAGAGAATCTTTAAGGGAATAAAAGCTCAGTCATCAACTCCAAAGCACTAAAAATATCCTTTTTAATTACTAAGTCAAATCAAAAAGAACTCCCCTCCAACCCACAACATCAGAACAGCAAAATATATTCCATGAGATGTCAAGTAATTGTGACCCAGTAGGAAAGAGGTATCAGCTCTTGCAATTTAAATGTAAACACATGCAATGTATATGTTTCTGCAATCTAAATATAAACCCTAGTAATTGAGACATGGCTTTGCAATCCATTTTCATACATCAGTATCCTTATGGATTATGCACTACTTTCTGAAGCCGTCGTTAAAAAGTGTTCTAAAAATTGATCCAGAGTAATTCTATCCTTTTGCACACCACTCACCTTTTCTGCATTGCTGAGGACACTGCTCAAGATCTGAGCATCTCGCTGAGCTCTTCCTTTATGTAAAAGCATGTATGAGACACACTATATTCAAGATGCCGGAAGCCTAGCTAAGAATATGAATACCTCCAGGTTGACATATCATCCTATGTGATGTCAGTAAAATCATTTGACAAACTACAGCTTCCAATTTGTAAACTTGCTGTATGTAGAAACTGAATAGACATTTTCGGAGGCAAAAATTTACAGTTTAGTTATTCAAGAAACCCTACACTGTACCCCATTTGTACAGTAGCTGTCTATACTTCCCTGTGTGGATCTAAGCTAAACAAATCAAACAAGTTCCATATTCAATCCCAACTCTGGTACTTAAATTACAGTCAACACTCATGAGGTAAGCAACTTTTTTAAAAAAAAGTAAATCAAGTGTGAATAGGAAAGTTTTGGAGGGATATGGGTCAAATGCAGGCAAGTGGGAGTAGTTTAGTTAGGGAACTTGGTCAGTGTGGACTAGTTGGACCAAAGATAGTAGGACTGCAGATGCTGGAAAATCTGAGATAACAAGGTGTAGAGCTGGATGAACACAGGCCAAGCAGCATCATAGGAGCAGCAAGGCTCGGCCAAGCAGCCTTCCTGCTCCTATGATGCTGCTTGGCCTGCTGTGTTCATCCAGCTCTACACCTTAGTTGGACCAAACAGTCTGTTTCCATGCTATGTGACTCTGTGACTTTAAGTGTTCCCTATCACAAATGATAGTGATCCAAGCATCACTACATTAGGTAATAGCAAGATTATGCTGCACTCCCAATACTGTCACCCTCCTCCACATTGTCGTATTGCCTGCTCACACTTCCTTTTCAAGTTCAACTGATGTGCAGTCAAGAGAGTAACAAAATTGTCCTAAAATCATTCAAGGAACCAGAAAGTTGTAACCTTCCTGTACAATTTTGCACAAACTCTGCAGTATTGCTAAAAAATGCTGACTCGTTTGCTTTTAAAAAAGATAAGGAAAATATACAAACTTATCTAGGCGTTTCAAAAGAAAAAAAACATGCTCAGCTATTCAATAAAGTGATTTTTACAGAACTTTAAAATATTCTTAAAATTTGCAATTTGACAGCTAGGTTTCGATGGGGCATAATCAACTAGAAAATTAATCACACTCTTCACCAGTGGTTTACGACTTTTATTAACACTGCATCTGAAAGAAATTACCCATGGGGCACTGATTTCAAATGAAAGCCATAGATAACCAAGGTCATACTGCTGTTAATTTCTGAAATGAAAATGTAAATGATGCTATGGATGTTATTTAGATATTTTAATGAAACTTGCATTTAAAAATACGCTATAAAATTGCCATTTCAATTTCATTTTACGATCTCCTCTGCTCAACCTAACTGCTCACTAGTCTAGTCCAGCATTACGAATAATACCTCATCAGCAGCTGAATAAAACATCATAGAATTGTATACGATTTTGAATAATATTTGCACGGTATTAATAATCGGAATAATCCAACTACGCTAATCTTAGATCCAAAAACAGTGCTTAAACAGCAATATCCAGAGGGATTAGCAATACGGAAAGGAATGGGGGCAGGGCAAGAAGGATCACCGCCACATCAGAATCATCGATGCTCTGTAAACTGCACCATTCCGACCTAAGCCTATAGCTGCAATTTTTAAGAAATCATTTTGAATCTGTCCCTCCCCCTCCTCTCAAAACTGCTGATGCGTCCAAAACATTTCTATGGCCCACTATACTGAATCCCTGTTAAAATCATAATTATAAAATTCTGTTAGTGCTATTCTGAAGAAAGAATGCCAGCCCTTGAAGCCTACGTTTCCTATACACGTTCACTTCATAAGCGAATAAACTGCAGCATCACAACTAAATCCTGCTTTGTTATACATGACGAACACTGCAACATCCCATCATTTGTTCGGCGAATCAAATTCAGCAGAACGCATTTTTATTTGCGATGTTTAAAAAATTAAACGGCCAGACATCCTCAGCAAGTCTGCTAGTAAAATATTTATCATACTTCTGGCACTGGCGCTACATTACTGCCACCGTTACCTCGGCTCCAGTACTAGGAACACAGCCCACTTTTTTTGCAAGCTCGGACTCCATTACAACGAACAGAAATAGCAATGATGGAGAAAAGCAAATAAAACACAGGAGCCAGGAATATCAGCAAAAAAAAAGGAACCGGGAATAAACGGAAGCGCCAGCAAACAGTAAAAAAATACACCGGGAATGAGAACAAACTAGTAGGACGCATACAAGTCTTTTTTTTCTTAAATGCGAAACATCAAGAATGCACACAGTCTAAATACTGGCAAATTCTAATAAGAAAATAAAGGGACATTGAATTTAGACATTGCAATGCACGTTCTGAGATTGTTTTACATGTAAAACAGTGAAGGACAAGGGTTGGGGAGGGGTCTGTAACGATGGGAAGGTGGGAAAAACAAAGTCTCTTACAGTCCAGGTGCTTCTTTTTGGGTCCCATCACCTCATGGGTGGTCGCCTTGCAGACAGCCCTGGCCACGGCCGAGCCGGTCACACTGTACTGAGCTGCGGCGATCCGGTCCGTGATCGTCTGGCCCGACATTTTCTCGCTTTAATCTTCGTTCTTCTCCGTTTTCCCCCTTTCTCACTTGGCAAATGAATAATTGATGTCCAAAAAAAAAAATAAATAGGGTGGGTGGAGAGGGAGGGGGAAAAAAAGAGAGCAGGACGAGGATGTCAATGAACCCGAAAGATGAAATAACAAAATTAAAATAAAAAGGAGGGAAGAGGGTGGGGTGTTACAAAAAGAGAGAGAGAAAACCGAGGAGCCGCTAGTCAGAGGCTCACACCTGGGGATCCGGGCTGAGGGGGGAGGGGAGGAGGAGGAGGAGACCAGGCCCCGGGCCCGGCCCCACTCCACTTGAGATCGGGAGGGAATGGCGGAGAGGGAAGGAAGGAGGGAGGGTAAGGCTGAGGGAGGGTAAGGCTGAGGGAGGAGATATCCCTTCCTTCCCGGGTCACAACAACAACAACAGACAGTCCTCTCCCTCCCGCTATCACTCCGTCTCCCAGGAATAACGGCCCCCAGGCCTTCCCTCCTATAACCACCCCCATCTCTTCCCCCCCCCGGGGCCGTCCCTACCCGAGGACTCGCCGCCGCCGCCGCAGGCTCCCTTACCCCCCTCCCCCGACCTCGCCGCTGCTGCTCTCACTCCCAGTCCGGGCAGGATTTTTGATCATAAAATGGCGATTGATTCAGGGATTTAATCGGATTTTTCTCCCTTTCACACCCCCTCCCCTCCTTTTCTCCATTGACCCGTCACTATCGCCCCCCCCCCCCCAACACAACCCCACCCCATCGTTTAAAGGGGAGGGTCACGCTGTCAGCTGCTGCGGGTCTGCCGACACAAATTACACCTGTCTGCAGGGGCAATGGGGAGGACGCCACCTGAATCAGTTCAGCTCATGTTCGTCCTTTCATCCTCTCCCTGTTCATCGCAACAATGCAAACTTTCAAAATGTGAAACACACTCTCCTTCCTTCAAAGCCTCGGTCAGACCTGATTCTTAAGAGCTCTGGAGGTTGCACTCTCCTCATCTGTCCTGACCCGTGTTGGATTCATTTTTTTTCCGCCTGGACTCTTAATATTTGCAGCTTTTATTTTAACACTTGACCGAGCCGGTTGCTTGTGTGCTGGTTAATATGTAGTTTTGTGTAACCGCTGTTCTGGGCAATTAGTTACCTTGTACGCTGTTTCGGATTCCTGTTGTGGTTTCAACATCTTTTAAGCAAACAATTGAATATCACCGAAACCGCTTTTTTTTTGCAGACGTTTCTACTAAAAATAACAAGCACCGTGAAGTATCAACAAGCCGTGTCATCATACTCAGACTTGTAGTTTTGATTCATCGTCCCAAACCGCTTAGTCAGCGAGCACAACTGTGTGAACGTGGGAAATTTCGTCCAAAAGAAAAGCAGCGTTATTTGACTATATCTGACCATTCAATCTCCCTGTTTATCCTGACAATGTACAATCTGCCACAAATAAACTCCTCTGTAAATAACGTTAAGAACATACCACTATAGAAACGAAAATGTCTAATCTTCTTTGCAAAGAAAATTCAAGAATAATTTTACCTCAAATATTTGAATGTCTTCCTATTTGTGTTTGCAATAATTCTCTTAGTGAAACTAGATTATAGGTTTTTTTAAAAAAAGGGTTAGAAATGTTTTTGTTCCCTTGCCTTGGACTTCTCCATTTTCAGCTCTTCCAAATGATTGCTATAGCTAAGTGAATTTCTCACTCCTCTAACCTCTAATTTTAACACACTCCCTCCTCCTCATCGCATGTCACTAGTAGTTATTGTGTCAGATTCAATAATGGTTTAAAACCTACGTTATAAGTGGTGAATGCAGTATGTGACAAGGTGGCGCTGTCCCAGGAAGATCCCAAATATCACAGAATCTCAATGCAGTATCTATTTTTTCTAATCAACCTGTTCAGAGATGTTATACACACCTATGGAGCAAGTGGGACTTGAACCCAGGACTCACATTGTTTCTTTTCAAATAATCATCTCATTCCCTAGTGAATGCCTTGAACAAACTTGCCTCCACCACACTCTCAGGCAGTGCACATCAGACTCTTTAGCACTCACTGAGTGAAAAAGATTTCCTTCTTATCTTTAGTTCTTTTATCAATTATTTTAAAGCTACGCCCTCTCATTCTCAATCATTTCTTGACTGGGAACATTTTTTGCCTATTTACTCTGTCCAGATCTCTCATGGTTTTGAATATCTTAATCAGATCTCCTCTCAGCCTCTCAAGGAACAGTCCCAACATCTTCAATCTACATTGTAACTGAAATTCCTCATTGTTGGTATCATTATCACAAGCCTTTTAGGCATTGTCTCCAAGGCCCTCTCATCCTTCCAAAAGTGTGGCAGCTAGAAACGGACACAATTCTCCAGATGAGGCCGATATTCAGCCTCTCAATTTTTAAAAATGCTAGACCAAAGTACCATTCCAAGCCGAGAAAAGCCTATTCAACCCATTGAACCTCATCCCAATATTCTAATTCTCCGAGACATCATCTACTTTTATTTTGAATGATGCACAGTATAGCAGTTTGTTCTATTTATTGTCTGTTAAAGAGACAAAGACTTGAATTTATAAAGCACCTTTCACAACCTTAAGACATTCCAAAACTCTTTGTAGCCAATATAGTGCTTTGAAGATCTGTAATCTATGAAGTATGACAGCCCGTCGCTAATGTAAACTCCTGCAAATTCCAATGTGACAATGACCAGATAATCTATTTGGTGATATTGAGGGATAAATATTAGCTGTGACACTGGGGGTGTGTGAGAGGTAGTGTAATGCAAGCAGTGGAGGTGATGGGCTGAAGTCCTCAGGGATGCTTCTGAGTTGCAAACAGTGAAGTATTGTCCAGTCAATTGCATTTGGATGTTGGAACCCAAAGGTCCCATTGTGGACTGAGAAAGTGTTGCTCACCTGGCCACAAAATTTGGGCTTAATGAATATGTTCTGTACTGAGAGGAATGTAATTGATCAGAAAACTCAACCTGACATGACCAAATATCACTCCCACTTTTATGCCTGGCACCACACTTTGTCTCATAAAAAAAAGTCCACTGATGTAATCATTTAGGTCCAACTCCCAGGATGAATGAAGCATTGACTTAATGCCTCATCAAATGATAGCACCATGATCCATGCAGCATGTCTGCAATACTGCACTGGAGTGTTGACCAAGAGTTTGTGCTTAAATGTCTGGAGTTGAACTTGAAACAATAATCTCTTGCTCAGACAAGAGTACTGCTATTGTTCCACAACTTACCTACACAAGTCACTCTGTTTGTTTTGCTGCGGACATGCATATACATCTCTCCATTGTTTCATCTAAGGCAATAACAATTATGGAAAAAAGCTGAGGTCCGAGACCAGACACTTGGATATGGCACATCCCAGACAATCAGAGTACCTTCACCTTACTCTCTTTGTCCCCAATTCGTGTCATAAGAATACTTCAAATGCCATCTGCTTTTAGTTTTGCAAATAGTCTCTTGCATAGAATCTTATCAAATAGTTTGTAAAAGTTTATGCAGCCTATATTCATAGACCAGCCCCTATTTGGAATGTAATGACTTCGTCAAGAAATTCAATTCATTTATTCTAATAGTTCCTGTCTTTCACAAATCCATGCTGAATCTTTCTGATCACTTTCTACGTATCCAAGGGCCTACTCCTCCATTGTTTCTTGGACCTTCTCTCGCCCTGTCCTATGACTGCAATACCACCCTGCCCCAACACTCACCTGGCTGAGGACTGTCCCATGGGTTCTTGATGATATCATTTCCCACCTGATTTTTCATAAATCTCATTTTCATTACTACATAATTCCAGCAAATTTGCAATGGGAGACAGGTCAGAAAAATGCAATAACAACCACAAATAAAAATGGCCGGTGTCCTATATCATTGAGTCAGTGAGGGTTTCCTCAAGTCCTGTTCCCTGCATCTTGCCCACTCCAAATATCCTCTTAAGTTAAAATGTGTTCAAAGGTTACTTGATTTGGTCCATTGTCCTAACGATGAAGTCTAAATTTCATTAAACCCTTTCAAGTAGTCTCAAATCAATTCAAATTAAAATCAACTCGAGTTTCAGAGTCGAACTCAAGAATCCTGGAGACAGTCAACATCATCTACAAGAGTGGTAGTGTCATTTTATCTGGGAGTCAGAGAGGCATCATTCCTGTGAGGTAGCAGCTTGGAGCAGGTGGTTATAAATTGTGGGCAAGCCTCGAACCCTACACAGCTTACCTGGGAGTCAGAGAGGCATTACAAGGGACCAACTCAGATTGGAGAGTTATAAAACATGGTTGAATCTTGAAGCCTGCATTACTTAGCTGGGAGTTAGACAAACTCGCCATTCAGCTGCTCAGAATCAGCACATGCTGAGCTCAAATATTTGGGAAGGAATTGGTTAATAGGAAACAGCTATTAGGGTTGACTTTAACTTGCTGCAAAATGTTTAAAAAATGAGTTCTTTTTGAAGAGGTAGCTAAATTTAGATTTTAAGAAATGCCAGGAATGTGGGAAAGTTAGAGTGAATATAGTCGATAATGCAAGTAATCTAAATTACTGCAATGTTAACATAACTGAAATAATTTTAAGATATGCCAGCTCCGCTCAGTTGAGTAGAATGTGCAGCTTTGGGAATTCATGGATTGACTGTTGTCCTAGATGGTCAAAATTGAGCTCTGCATTTCAGAACTGAAGAGACGGCTAGAGACACAGTGGCACGTCTACGAGGCAGAGAGTTACATGGATAATATGTTCAGAAGATGGTCACACTGCAGCTTAAAGGCCTAAAAACAAAATGAAACAGTTTAGTGCCAGGCAGTCCTGGAGAAATAGGCAGGTAGTGCAGGAGCCCTCTTGGGTTGCACTTGCAAATCAGTTTTCCATTTGGAAGCTGATGAGGCCATTGCTTCTTCAAGGAAATGCAGTCAGAACCAAGTTTGTGACACCACAGTAACTCAGCTGTAAAGGACAGGAGGAAAAGGACGTGCAGTAATAGTGATTGGAGATTCATTAGTAAGAGGAACAGACAGGTGTTTCTTTGATTTCAGGATGGTCCGTTGCCTCCTTGATGCCAGGTTTCAGGATGTCACAGAACAGCTGCAGGACATTTTTCTAGGAAGGGAACAGCCAGAAGTCGTGGTCCATATTGGTTCTAATGACTTAGGTAGGAATGGGGATGTTGTCCTGAAATCAGAATTCAAGGATCTAGGTAGAAAATTAACAATCAGGACGCCAAATGCAGTCATCTCTGAATTACTTCCAGTGTCATGTTCAAGTAAACATCAAACAGAAGGATAAGGCAAATATGTGCAAGTTTGGAAAGGTAATGAAGGAGGGAAGGCTTTAGATTCCAGAGACACTACGTGGGTCTAGAGAAGATGGCACCTCTGTAAGTTGGACAGGTTACATGTGAACAGAACAGGAACCAAGTTTCTTGCAGAGTGATTTGTTAGTGACATTGGGAGGATGTTAAACTAACTTGACAGGGATATGGGAACCAAGGGAAAATACTAGAGAGGGAAATCAGAGCATAAAAATACTTGGGGAGATGAATTATACTAGTGAGGAGAATGAAAAGTTAATAGGTGAAGTTAGAGTAAGGAAGAAATTAATGAGTCTAAATCAGGGTTTCTGTGCATGTATATGAATGCACAGAACATAGCAAGTATGTTTGAGGAGTTACAAGTCAAATTGCCATGTGGAAATATGTTATAGCATGAACAGATTTGGTTCAAGTAAGGGTAGGACTGGGTGTTAAATATTCCTATATACAGGGTGTTCAGAAAAGTTGGGAAAGGAAGAGGTGTGACAGTATTGTTTAAGAAGAATATTGCAGTACTGGAAAAAGAGTTTGTGCCAAGGGCTCAAGAACAGAATTAACCTGGCTAGAGCTAGGGAATATAAAATGTGAAAGGTACAGACCACTAACTATTAGGAAGAATGTAGAGGGGAATTGCAGTAATGTCAAAATTATGGAGTTGTTAAAATTGGGAACTTTAACTACCCGAATGTAGACTGGGATTGTGGTAGCAATAAGGATGGCGAGGTGCAGCGGCCATTATGTTTTAGTCTTTGCTGGACTCAAAGGAATTGCCAAAGTATTGGATATCTGCAGATGTTATGCTTTATTCATAAAAAGGTTTTAAAAAATAAGTGTTACAGTCACAAAAACAAAGTTGCTGGAAAAGCTCAGCAGGTCTGGCAGCATCTGTGAAGGGAAAAACAGAGTTAACATTCGGGTCCAGTGACCCTTCCTCAGAACTCCAGTTTTTCCAGCTGGGAAAAGGTTTGTGGATATTACCAGGGGTCAGTATTAGGGCCCTTGCTTATAGGAATACCTCTTAATGATCCAGATCTTAGAGTGCAGGGGATAAATTCAAAGTTTGTTTA